GAGAGAGAGAGAGAGAGAGAGAGAGAGAGAGAGAGAGAGAGAGAGAGAGAGAGAGAGAGAGAGAGAGAGAGAATTTGCAAGAGCACTTCGTCGGGTGACCGAAGCCTTACGCGTGCAAGCTCGTGATTGGCATGCTGCGTGCTGCTTCTGCTCACACGAGTTTTCCTGAAGGAGAAAGCGCGGGGGCATAGATCGTTTAAGCTCAGGTAGAAACGGAATGCCAAAATGGCTATACATTGCCTGCATTTGAGTTGACGGACCAGAGAACCGTTGACAAGCGGACCTGAGCTCGAATCCTGTGGCGGAATCAGAACTTTAGAAGTAGAAGAGCCAGTCTTTGCTCCGGAAGTGTTCAGCTTACTTCATGTAGGAGTCTGTACCAGACGTATGGGCCGCATTTGGCTGTCTGTTTAGGGTGGATCGTAATTTCACTACCGCGAAACCAGTTCATCTTCATTATGACTGTATCAGGCCGGAAAGTTTGTATTCGTTCATGTTGAGGCAGCGTTGTGTGCACGAGGGAGGAGGGTAGCGTAGTCCTGCTGTCCTTGCTGCGTGTGTCTGACTTTGTTAATGTGTATGTGTGCGTTTTTGTGTGCTTGTTAGTATGTGCGCGTTTGTCAGTGTGCGTGTGTTTGTTTTCGTGTCTGTGCGTGTGTGTTGTCATGTTCACTACACACAACTCAGAACAAACCATGACTGTCCCAGACTGTTTCATCAGACTTTCACCGACTCAACAGGTCGTTGAGTCCCCACAGTCTGCCCGGGATGTGTGTGTGTGTGTGTGTGTGTGTGTGTGTGTGTGCGTGTGTGCGTGTGCGTGTGTCCGTGTGTGCGTGTGCTGTCCGTGTGTGCGTGTGTGTGTCTCTGTGTGTGTGTGTGTGTGTGTGTGTGTGTGTGTGTGTGTGTGTTTGCCTGTTTCTCTGTGTGTGTTGGTCTCTTTCTGTGTGTTTGTCTGCTTATATATATGTTGCCCCCTTCTTCTTGTCGAATTTTGTTAAAGAATCAGGTGCTTATGGACCCAGCTCCATGTCCATTTCTAAGAAACAAGCATGGCATTCTGCATTCTTTAGCGTCGGTGGAAAGATAGCTTGTATGTCTGTTAGGAAAAAAAGGAGTAGCAAAAAAAAGAAAAGGAAAAAAAAGTTTCAGCTGTTTCATCATCGAATTGGATTTCTAAGCCCAAGGTAATTTAGAATGATCATATTCTGGTCATCTTTTTGCATCTGGATTCGAACTGGGGTCTGCATTTCAACAGTGCATGAGGTTTTTTTTTTTTTTTTTTTTTTTTTTTTTTTGTTGTTGTACTGGGTCAGTAGAAGCAGCTTGTTGTTATTATACGACGATGGAAAGACGTTGAGATGTTAAAAAAAAAAAAAAAAAAGGTCCAGAGCGAGGGAAGGTCACTGACTGTGTGCCAGGGAATATCAAAAGCTGGAAAGAGTGGAGTCTCGTGAGGGAAAGGGCAAAAAAAACTCGGGTACCAGAGCGGCCCCGGTCCACTTGCCCGGCCGGGCCAAAAAGAAAAAAACAAAAACAAAAAAAAAAAAAATTTAAATTTGGTAAAGAATTTCGATGTGACCCTGAGGCAAAAGTTGTTCAGTTTATTGTTCTGCGTAAAATAGTTTTTTTTTTCGGGATTTTTTGGATTCTTTTGTTTTTTTTTTTTGGCTGGGGCCTTCCCTGGTCCTTGCACGGTCGAGCCGCCCGGGAAAATAGGGTGACCCGGGTGGCCCGGCTGGTAGGCCTAGAAAAAAAAACAAAAAGAAAGGTGGGGAAAAAGTAGAACACAGGGAGAAAAAAAATCCAGAGCGAGCATGCTTGCTGGTGGTTTTTTTTTTTTTTTCTTTCTTTCTAGGGGTACCTGTGATTGTATTTCTTTTCTTTACCGCTCCTGCAGCGTGACTTCGATCATCTCTTCTCTCCTCCTACAGTCGTTTACCTTTGTTCCCCGAATGGACTGCCTAGTCATTATCGTGAATGAGAGACTAAAAGGTGGTCCAAATACAGGTAGAATAATAGAGTATCGCCAGCATTAGCCGGACTTGCCCGGATGTTTCTGAAAAGAATAAAAATAAAAACAAATTAGAAGAAGAAGAAGAATGATCCTGCGTTGTATTCGGGTGACGAGGGTAGCTTCGATTTTGTTCCGACCCCTTCCACAGAAAGCAAAAGCTTCACCTTAAAAAAAAAAAAAACAAAAAAAAACTTCACCTACCTCTCCCCCGAACACAATGCACTCTGATCATGAATGCATTTTACCTATCTTCGCGACCTGCTACAGAAACGGAATGTACCCTGATCACGAATGTATATAACCTATCTTCGAGGTCCAGTACAGTCATAATGATGAGGGCGTGTTGTGTTCCGGAGAAGAATGCAGTTTCCTTTTTTTTTTCTCGTCATCACTTCGCCCATTCAGCGCTATTTACGCTAAAAAGCTAGGCTACCAGCCGGGCCGCCCGGGTCCCGGGTGGCCAGCCCCCGTGCAAGGACCAGGGAAGGTCCCAGCAAAAAAACAAAACAAAACAATCCAAAAAATCCGGAAAAAAAAACTATTTTATGCAGAACAATAAACTGAACAACTTTTGCCTCAGGGTCACATCGAAATTCTTTTACCAAATTTAGAGTAAAAAAATTAACTGTAAACTTTTTTTTTTTTTTTTTTTTTTTCCGGCCCGGCCGGGCAAGT